GCAAACCAAATTGAGAAAGGATACCAGGTCAGACATCCCATCTTGTCATTGCTAGGGTCAAAATTAACTTCCCAATCTTTCTCGGGTTAGCCAATCTATAGAAACGAAAGGAAAATCATTAAATACTTTTAATTAATAATATTTTAAAGGTGACTGTTAAAATAATATATATACACTGTATCATTAATTAATAAGTAAAATAAACATCTACTACCATTCTTAATCCTTATCACATTAGTCATAATTTAATTTAATTTAGTTAGCACAGACTGGCGTGAAATATTTAAAATTCTAAATATAGAAACATTTTTTGAAATGTGGAATAGCAAATACGTATACACTTTTTAGTTCATTTTAATAAATACTTTCTCTGAAAATGTATTTTTACTTACTGTTATCAAATCTGAATATTTATATATAAGAAATTATGAGTGCTGTCAGCACAGAGCAAAGTAGTATTACGTAGTTAGTATCAGCAATTTCTTAAGTGTACGATGTGTAGCATATCTATTTACAAACAAAATTTAATTTTTCAAACAATTTTTAACACAAGGAAAGTGATTTTTAGTAGAGGAAAAAAGAAGCCAAACTAAAATTTAACAGCACGCAAATTACCTCAAATGTGTATTAGGAATTGTTTTTCTTTTTTAATAAATAAATACTTTTATAATGATAGAGAAAATGTTTCGCAATAAAATAAGTTCTCATTAGTCAAAATAATTACCACTTTACCAAGCCTTTTCATTTTACCTTATGAATCGCTTAGTAATGTTTGTTACTTACTCTTTTTGTTTCTGCTTCCAGTGAATAAGAGGCTGCTGCTCCATACTTGGATGAAATGCAGACTGCTACAATCACAGACCAACTATAGAAGATGCCCAATGTTTGTGTAATATTCCTATCAAGCAATCACAAGAATATTTAAATATATAATTACCATAGGGTTCATAAGAAATAATGTGATAACAGAACATTAAAAAGTAATTTCGGAAGAAACACACAATTTTCAAACGTCGTTTAAATCATTTTAATACTATTATAAGAAAAATAGAAATAAACAATTTCTAGATAATTTCCATGTCCCTGGTTCGAATTTCGATTGGACTTGGTTTAGAGCAAAAGTGAACCATTAAAAATAAGTACATCAAGTTTCAATTCAATTTTAGTCAGCAATTAGACGAAAAGTATAAGGCATTTTTTTGTCACATGATTGAATGTTAAAATTTAATATATCTTGTAACCTAGATCGTTTCCTACGACCGCGCGTAATTCATGGTTATCTTGCAAAATTTCAGTTATATTTCTTTAATTTAAATGATCGAAAAAAGTGTTTTTTGTTTGTCCTAAGTAAATAAAATCATATTCTGTGCAGTCAAGGTTGTAAAAACACTCCATTTATATCAAATGCGTTTATTTTATTTTAGTTAAGTTAAATGTGTTTAAAATTGAGTTTCTTTAGATCATGTATGCACAAAATATTTGTGATTTTTATAATTAAAAATATCGCTTTAAAAGGCATTCGTTACTTATTATTCAATAAGTCTCTTTCCACAAGTTTCACATTGGAGTAGTTTTTACCCAGTATGCGATTACTGGTGTTGCAACAAACTTGATTTTAAAAGCTCAGGTTTTCTACCAATTTCTTTTTTAAGAAAACCTGACGTTCTGTAAATACATTTAATCTAACTTACAGAAATATTGCCTTCTACCTTTTTTTAGTTTCTTTTATATTACTGAAATATAAAAGATCATTTTTCCTATTATTTCTTTATCAGAAAACGCCATGCTCTATTAATAACGCAATTATTTTGAAATAATTCACGTTTCACTGCTAAACTGTATATCATTTCTTCGTATTAAAAAAAAAGACTAGTTTACAATCAAAACATAACCTGTATGTACTTCTAACCTCAATGATTGTGCAAATCTATGATTATGCACATATATTGTGCATCTGATTTCCTCAATCGTGTGAATCTGGCACCCGATATAAATAATTCACTGATTCAAACTTTTCCAATAAATTCTGCGTAGTTTGCGGGTTTTAAATATGTAAGTATCATAATTGTGCACCCATTAATTCTGTTAAAAAAAGTAAAAACTGTTTCGGGTGCAGGTGGAAATTAAATATCAATTTATTTAAAAACTACTGAAGATATGATAAAAGTGTCATTTGTATTTGAAGACTGGTCTAATATGGTAGACGGAATTTATCTTTATATTATATATTACCAATAATTACATATAAAACATGGATAAGCACTATCCTTAATTTTTCATTATTACTAATAGGCGTGCAACATTGGTGGATCATAGATAATAATATGATCATAGTAATGCCATTGAATAGTATTTGTAACCATTAATCAATAATACAAAAATCAATGAAAAATGTATGTACTTATTACTAATAAATAAAATAAAAATGAATTTCGCTTACCATATTAGATCAGTCTTCAAGTACAAATGACACGCAATCAAATGGCGTCAATTAAATTATCATATTTTCAGTAGTTTTCAAAAAAATTGATATTTAGTTTCCACCTGCGCCCGAAACGATTTTCTTTTTTTTAAACAGAACCAATGGGCGCAGAATTATAATACTTACTTATTTAGAACCCGCAACCGACGCACAATTTATTAATAAAGTTTGAATCAGTGGATTATTAATATCGGGTGCCAGATTCACACGACTCATCGAGTCTTCTGAACTATCCGACCATACACATAGAGAATTGACTGAGCAATACCCCCCTTGAAATTGACCATTTTCTAAAATCAGAAAAATCGACCTTACGGCCAATACCTGTCTTTTTTCCTCATTCCTCCGCTCCTGCAAGACTGTGACATAGCTAATTTTTAAAAAGAATGAAAAAAACTACTGGCCGCACGATCGCACAATTTATTGGTCTATTTTAGAGAGTGGTTAATTTCATGAGGGTATTCCTTAGTCCATTCTCTATGTCTATTGGACGAAAAAACTACCAAAATGTTGTTGTAGTTATGTACATCCTTTTGTTTATAGGAATATGGACCAATATGTGATTTTTGCTGTTTTTGTTAATTAATATCCCCTTCTTTCACTAGATCTAAAAAATAAGCGCGGTAGGACTGTTCTTTCAAAAAAATTAAAAACACGGTCGCACACACATTCTCAAATTGTCGTACGACCGTAGGTATTTACATTTTCAATCAATTTTTTATTCATTAAAGACTACTTTCTGAAAAATTGTGAACACTTACGAATAGAATAAATTCGAGTCAACTTTAAGCGACAAAAGTATTTCTTTTGTGACTTAGTTAATTAGTAATTAATTTTTTTAATTAAAAGCATACGATTAGCCTACATTCGCTAGAGATAAATTATTACTGCTGTACCTTATTAGTACTAACACGATCCGCTGCGCAATGAACGACTGCACATTAATTTCAGTATTATCAGGTTTCAAATACAAAACGTAAAGAGAAAACTTGTTTACGCGTCAAATTGGTTACGCACTGCTTTACGGATCATCGAACACAACTTGGTAACGCTCACACGGCTCACGCTGTATATTACCACCCCCATGTAGTTCCTACCTCTAGCTTTTTGAATGTAGTTCATATATGTGGGCGTTTTCCTTATTTATCCAAATATTTTTGTATTATCAAAAACCCATTTATTTTCTGACAATGGACTTTCCAAAAAGTTGGGAACAGCTGACTTATATCTTTATTACAGGAACATTACATTCTTTCAGAAAACAATATATAAGAATCTAAATAAATAACTGTTACTCGTATTCCACAAATACGTTTCATAAAAAATTAACACACGGTTCGACACTTAAGGTGGCACTTTCAGTGTTTCGTTTACATTAGTTCAACAGAACTTTAGAACTCTATTTCATATTCTTATAAATTCAAAAAAAAAAAGAGTGTTAACATATAAAAAATTACGTTTCTGCATTTGTATAAGTTTTATGAATGCGTGAGCATATGCTGTTTAAGACAAGATCTTCGCGAAAATCTTCGCAAACAAATTTTGCATTCGTACGGTTTCTCTCCAGTATGAACGCGCATATGTAGATCACGGCGGTATTTATTAGGAAACTTTTTTTGACATACATCACAATCGTACGGCTTTTCCCCGGTATGAACGCGAACATGACTGCTTAAGTATGATTTTCTGTTGAAACGTTTGCCGCAAATGGAGCACTCAAATGGACGTTCGTCCGTATGCACCATTTCATGAGACCTCAAATTATTTCTGAAAATTATACACGTACAGTTAATAATTAAATGTATACTAGTAACATTAAACATTATGCCAACACCAAGACAGGTATACAAGAAACAGAGAAGGATAAATGACACCCTTACCATTCAAAATTACAATTGATTGAAATTGTGAGCATTTTTCTCTTACCACGTAGTTTTAATTTTTAATTGCTATATTTTTAATTCTATGTTTCTAACCATATCGGCTTTTCTCCCGTATGGATGCATAGGCATATATATTATGTCAATTGAGCACCAAACTTTGTTTGATAAACTTGACATTCGCATGAGTTTTCCCCACTATGTGTGTGAGCGTGATTGCTGAAATCCAATTTTTTAATGCAACGTTTGCTACAAATCGGACATTTAAATAGAACTCCATGATTTACACAGTTTAAGAGACAATCGTCTTGTTTTGAGTCACTAAACGAATATAAATAACAAAAAGGTTAATGGTATGTCCAAGAAGATTATATATAGGAGAAATAATTTAATCCTAAGCGAAAGCATCTAAAAAGCATCATCACTAATAACGGGGATAAAACGCAATCGTCCACTGTGCTAATAGCGACTGCGCATCAATTTCAGTAGTATCAGCAAGTTGTCAAATACAAAACGTAAACGAAACCTCACTGCCTACGAGCAAGTGGGATGTGCACGTCTTACATAATTATAACCCTCTTATGGCTCGCGTCATGCAATAAGCAAGCCATGTATTATTATTATTTCTAATTCTAGTCTTTTTGGGTGTGTCCCTTCGAAAACGAGAGTGCTGAATTATAAATATATAACAAATTTTGAATTTACTTGGGGGGTGAATAAACAATAAATAATGCTTCCGACCGCAGTTAGGATACTTTCAATGTGTTACTGAAACTAATAACCTGAACGTATAACTGGTGTTGTTTGAATCTGTTTTGCCATAGGTAATCATACAAAACAAATTTGTTCTAATGAGTCTAACATTGAGAGAGAGTTACGAATGCCTTGAAATAGGGAGGTTGTTGTTGACGATAGTACAAAACTCCTCTCCTGTAACTTTGGCTCCTCTTTTGCCCTTAACTACGCTGCTTAACTCAGCGTGCGATTGTTTATTGTATCTAGTTTACGCCCTCCAAAGTTTGACACTTATTTCTGTTACAGAAGGAGCGTCTAATATAACCCGGGAAGAACAGAGGTTGCAGAAAGAACATTATTATGTCAGGTTTAAGTAATGACCAGTAATGATCATGTATCTAAGTGGTATGAAATATTACTTACTCTTGAGTAAATCCTTGTCCACAGGTTTCACATTTAAATTGTTTTTCTTCCGCATGAACGCGCATATGTAGATCAAGACGGTATTTTTCTGGAAACCTTTTCTGACACACTAGACATTCGTATGGTTTTTCTCCGGTATGGACACGTAGGTGACTGGTCAACTGCCATTTTATGGCAAAACGTTTACTGCAAGTCGAACATTCAAATGGACGTACGCCCGTATGCAACCATTCATGACGCCTCAAGGTACCTCTGAAAATTGTATAAGTAAAATAGTAGCACATTTAAAATAGTAATATATTTAACACATTGACAACATCTTAAGTACAAAATTGTGACGACCGAAAGCCAAATCCTACGCAAAATCGCAAGATTACACAGATTTCACCATACGAAACCGTTACAATTATACCAATCCCTACACGCATAAATAATCTACAAACTAGATGCACTAAAAGAGCCGTCGAAAACAATAACCCCACCACAATAAGAATACTCACATAGACACCACATACAATTACACATATACCTAAAAACAAATTCATCTTTCCAAACCACTGACCATAACTCTCGTTCTTCCCGACGATTTCGTCGATTACTTTGAATATTTCCTATTTTTAATATGAAATATTATTCTGAAATTTCATTTCTGAATTTATTACCTACTACACACTACCTCAAATTAATGAGGGAAAAATTGTTGCTGTTGTCACACCCCCGCCGGGNTAGGTCGGTTGGTCGTGGTTGCTGTTGTCACTTCTCGTAGTTTAGTGGTCAGAACATTGGCGCGTAAAGCCAAAGGTCCCGGGTTCGATTCCCGGCGGGGGTGTGACAACAGCAACAATTTTTCCCTCATTAATTTGAGGTAGTGTGTAGTGGGTAATAAATTCAGAAATGAAATTTCAGAATAATATTTCATATTAAACTAACTCACTTCTAAAAAAGATGTCTAAATTGTATGTATGTTTAATCATAGTATTTCCTATTTTTATTCAGATAATCAACTACACAGACACACGCACGCGAAAAATCAACGCCAAGAAGGGTAGAGAAGAAGCAGATAAAGGTAACTGACTACGGTAGCTACTTTAGAACGGGGCACCATAATTAACCCCTATAGTAGGTTACTTCGTTACGGAGAATAACAATTTAATTGTTACCACAGTTGGTGGTAGTTAATGAGTATAACGACCGGTTTAAACAATAAAATACCAAACAATTTTTTGTACTCAATCCCTGGAGTAAAGCAGAAAGTTTAATGCAGCGGTTATGTACGTATGAAAAATTTTTCATTGATCTTGGGGAGGCTTTATTACATATATTTCAATTACATGCAATATTAGGAGGGTTGATAGTTGATAAGAAAATATACAAGATTTCGTTAACTAAAAAAATGTATATTTTTGAGGTGTCTTTTTTAAATTTCAAAATAACTATTGTACATCGTGGCATACTGCATTACATCAACTAGGAACCAGCCAAGCGGCACTGTACCACTGAATTAGCTATCGGCTGTACAAGTTACAAGATGAGGTGAAGTATCAGAATTTCAATGACAAAGCGAATCGATAGGAGTGTATATAATTTGTCAATTTTATATACTTTTTGACACGATACGTTTATTGTAAAACAAATAGCCGTTTTAGTTGATTGCACGGTGGTATTAATCATATCATTACTTACTCCTGAGTAAACCCTTGTCCACAAGTTTCACATTTGAATGGCTTTTCTCCTGTATGAATGCGCATATGTCGATTGAGACGGTATTTTTCGGGAAATCTTTTTTGACACACTTGACACTCGTACCGTGTTTCTCTGGTGTGTACATGAAGGTGACTGGTTAAATTCGATTTTGTAACGAAACGTTTGCCACAAATCGAACATTCAAAAGGACGTTCGCCCGTGTGCAACCTTTGATGATGCACCAAGCTACCTCTGAAAAATATGTAAAATTAAATAAATAGTAATTTAAATATATAACTTTAACAACTAAAGTAAGTTATTCTCTACATAAAATGTTAAACGAGGAAAATATGGCGACTGCAGAATAAAGAACTATTGTTCAGATGCGCCTAGTCCCTAATCATAACAATCTGACATGAATACATAGTTCAGAGTTGGCTTCAGCTTCAGGTAAAGAGGTTGAAGTTATAGCTCCCTCTCGAATAAAATCCAACACTATCCAATCTTATGAACGGTTGAATGACTTTAAAAGATTTCCTCTTTATAACAAGAACAAAAACACAGCAAGAGGTTATTCATTTAATTTATGTTTATTAAATCTATATTAATTTCTCTTATGACTTTGAAGTTAGATAAAAATCATGTAGAGTATCGTTTTAAAAGGCTTGTTTTGGATGTGTGCAATACTAATGTTAATTGTTTATACAATGGTTAACATAATGGCTTTCGTTATTACTTACTTTTCAGTAAATCTCTTTCCACAGGTTTCACACTGGAATGGCTTTTCTCCCGTATGCAACTTTTGGTGTTGCATCAATTTACTTCTGAAAATTATACAAGTAAAATTAAGTGAATAATACGAAATAATCAACTAAATGCAAATTAGCAATGCATACTAGTAACAGTAATATTAAACATGATTCTAACACCAAAAAGTGTAAAGAAAGAACAGAAAAGGATAATGGATGCCTACCCATCTTTAAAAGTAGGCAGTTTCCAATGTGTGACCAAAGTTAATAACTATAATGGCTGATAAGACTTCTTTTAAATACAGTGGTGCACGGGTTGGGTAGTTTTCATTTATAAAGTGTTTCTGAAATAAGTAGCAAGTTTGCTGGAGATGATAGGGCATTGGTAGTCCGAAAGTCCGCCGTTTTTAAGAAAAACGTATTTGAAAGCACAGGCAACGTTCAATCTGACCATTCTAGGATCAGACAGGGAAATACGACACTGCAACGCCGCATTCAATCGGCTACTACTTAGCAGTATCTGTGTTGTATTTCTTTTGAACTTTTGTAGTTTTTTTTTTATTTGTTACATGAGACTAATTGTGAATGAATCTTTGTTCTTTTAACGTCGTAGGCTTGTATTACGTATGTAATGTAAAAAGTCGAACTTATTAGAAGTAGGTCAATATGATCATTGTCATTGACCAATGCGTGAGTTTCTAGACGAACATTATCCTAGACGTTGGATTGGACATATGAACAGGTCCTGTACTATTGCTGGAACGCAGTCCTGATCTAAATCCGTTGGACTTCTTTATATGGGGTTGTATGAAACAGCGTGTGCATCAAATGCCAATGCCAAACGCTAATGATTTGCACGACTGTGCAAGATCAGTGCACCTACAGCTGGTTATGAACAGTAAGGAATCAGCTACTGACCACTGATACTATTAAGCAAGATTTCAACGTAAGCTGGGTGGGCTGAACTTGAGTGAAGATATTGGTATTCACTAGCAATTCATGACGAGAACTCTTACAGTCACTACTTCGATCGGATACTACAATGACCAAGTTGCAAGTACCGGAAGAGGGCAGTGGCGCCTTAGCCTTAAACCGATAGGAAGGCATGTTTTATCTGTTCAAACATCACATGACTTACAATGGTTATAAGTGTTTGTCTGATTGGTACCACATGAAGTTTTAATTATTTATTTAATTAATATTTTTACATAATTGTAAATGTCACCGTTCGACTTCATGGGCTACTTTCCTTAAAAAGTTCGAAACGGCTGCATGAACATCGATCCGCACTTATTTGTGCTTTTCGTAATAGGGTAATAGCGCTGTAGAAATTTAAAAAATTCTACCACCGGATGAATTACAACACTACCAACAGCTGGTTCAACAGTTAAAAATGCGATATGACCAGGCACATTTGACAATCGTTTATTATACAAGGTGTGGCGTTTACAATCAATAAAACATTGTTCTAGTACAAAATGTAAGAAAAAAGTGCTATAACATTTTGCAATTTATCGACGGTGTTGATTACGCAAATCGTCTTCGTAAAAGACTCCTCAAAAGTATTACAAAAAACAGCTCTGATCAAATTGGCTGCACTATGACGTTCTTTTTGATCAAAAGTTCTCAAGGGCATGAGGTCAAAAAATAAAGTTTTTGAGCTACAGACTTATATTTTCAGGTCATTTAATGTAGAAACGTTCAATATTTATGCTAGGCATCAAAAGCAGGTGGCATACATATGTAGATGGAACCTGGATGTCGACGAAGGTATAATTGAGCTTCAATACTAAACAAAACTGCAGGTATTTGCTTTACGAGTTATTGAAAATCGTGCACTACTTTGAACCAGAATTCAGAAACTTTTTATTTTTTGATCTCGTTCCCATGAGAACTTTTGATCAGAAAGTCATAAAGAACATTATACTCCAATTGCAGTCAATTTGACAGGATCCGATTTTCCATAAGAATTATTCGAGATTTTCGAACCTACAATTTATTTAAAAACGGGCCTGTATGTAAATAACTAACTCGTCTGTTGTTGGGATACGATGAAAATTGGCTCGTATTTGTGTTGTTCATCTAGTTTATTAATTACGTACTGGGGAACGAGCTAAATTGAAATTGAAAATTAAAAAATAAATGCGTACCTTTCATAAAAAGTGTTGAAATTGTCCACTGTTAGCTCCAATACGATAATGATAACGCTGAATCCAGTTTGGTCGAATTTAGTTCCAGGTACCAGGTGTAGTTTTAATGTTACCTGACATAGGCGACATGTATACTAATTGTTTTACATAGCCCCACAAATAAAAATCCACTGATGTCACCATTTCATTGAATCCAAACGATCTCACAGTTGAGAAAGCATTCTATTTAAAAGCTCTTGTAGTTTATGTGTAGGTACTGTGTAATGCTTAATCCTGAAGAAACCACATGTTTGTACAGCGAAAACTGTCCATCTTCTAGATAGATCCGGCAACAGCTTCTCTAAAACATCGGCATACGTGGGTCCTGTTAGCCTACCATTAATAAAAAATGGCATCAAAGAGTACCTTCAATACTCGTCCAAGATTATTCACATCATGGGGGAAGTTTCGTTATCGTATTTTATGCTCCAAATATCATCAGAAATCTGGGCTTTTAAAAATATTGACTATAAATACCACACCTTGTATACAATTAAGAAATCAGTATCAAAAAAGGGAAGCTTGCTAGTATGAAATAGATAACGCACGACAGGTACGACGATACACCGGGCTCGTTCTTCGATAAATTAAGAAATGATATACATTATACAGGACAGACCAAAAAATCTTGTCGATACATCACTTCAAAACAAGTTTCGTTGATGCAAGGTAAAAATACGTACTACACGAAACGATAGGTGGATTGACAATAGGTTTGAAGTGATTATTCGCCGAGTAGTAAGGACAATAAATGTAAGTAGGCGCATGGAAGAACTGGTGATTCTTGGTTTGAATACACTTTAGAAAGGCATTCAATTAAATGACTTATTTTTTATGTGTGGTGGTTTTGTTAATTGGTTACACATGTATATTAATCATTACTTACTTACTTTTCAGTAAATCTCTGTCCACACGTTTCACATTTAAATGGCTTTTCTCCGGTATGTACACGCATATGTACGTAGACATAATGTTTTGTGGGAAATCGTTTCTGACACACTTGACACTCGTACGGTTTTTCCCCAGAATGGACACGAACGTGATAGCTAACTTGCGACTTTCTGATGAAACGTTTGCCGCAAATAGGACATTCAAAAGGACATTCGCCGGTGTGCAACTTTTCATGAAGCTTCAAACTGCTTCTGAAATTTATATAAGTAAAATTAAATTAATATTATGAAAAAAGTACGAAATCCAACGCAATGTTAATGACTATAAACACTAGTTTAATACCCGTGTTAAATTTAAGAAAAAAAAAACGATTCCCTGTATGAAGTGCTATTCAAATACAAATTTACTTTACAATAATTAAATGTTAATTCTGTAAACAATTTATAATAATTTATGCGGTGGGGCCCAAGTAGGCAGAGATCATAATCCATTTTTTTTTTAATTTGTGCCATAAGGCATGTTTTCAAGCATTGAATAGATGGGAACATACCAAATAGTTTAGCTGCATGGAGTATTTTTTCTTTTTCCCTGCATTGAGACAGGTAGTGCCTTGTTTTACTATGTTTCTATAAATTCCTGTTAAGTATGGGAAATTGTGTAAAAGAATAAATAAAAGTAAATTTTAAAGCAGCACTTATATAGTAAGGTCTAGCCTCTGATGTGTATAATAGTGTTATTGATTATTTGTACAAAACTATTAATTACTGCTTACTTTTGGGTAAATCTCTGTTCACATGTTTCACATTTGAATGGTCTTTCTTCCACTTTAACATGTACTAAACTATGAACATTTAAGTTAGACTGGTTTTTAAACGTTTTACCACATTTTTTGCACTTATGTGATTTTTCTATTGTATGAATTTTAACATTAATTAAATCTGGAGTCACATTATCGTTTATATTAAGCTCAATTTCACCTTCAGATGTATTATCTGGTAATTCGCTTTTTAAAATAATTTCTTCTCTTATTGTATCTTCTGCTTTTAAAGGCACAGCTTTTTCATCATCTTCTATTTCAGAAAAACGCCAGGGTCTATCACTATGTTCATTTTCACCTTCAGAAGTATTATGTACTAATACTTCCCTTTTAATAACGGTTTCATTTCTTATTATATCATCTGATTTAAAAAGTTCAGTTTTTCTATCCTCTTCTNGGACCAATATGTGATTTTTGCTGTTTTTGTTAATTAATATCCCCTTCTTTCACTAGATCTAAAAAATAAGCGCGGTAGGACTGTTCTTTCAAAAAAATTAAAAACACGGTCGCACACACATTCTCAAATTGTCGTACGACCGTAGGTATTTACATTTTCAATCAATTTTTTATTCATTAAAGACTACTTTCTGAAAAATTGTGAACACTTACGAATAGAATAAATTCGAGTCAACTTTAAGCGACAAAAGTATTTCTTTTGTGACTTAGTTAATTAGTAATTAATTTTTTTAATTAAAAGCATACGATTAGCCTACATTCGCTAGAGATAAATTATTACTGCTGTACCTTATTAGTACTAACACGATCCGCTGCGCAATGAACGACTGCACATTAATTTCAGTATTATCAGGTTTCAAATACAAAACGTAAAGAGAAAACTTGTTTACGCGTCAAATTGGTTACGCACTGCTTTACGGATCATCGAACACAACTTGGTAACGCTCACACGGCTCACGCTGTATATTACCACCCCCATGTAGTTCCTACCTCTAGCTTTTTGAATGTAGTTCATATATGTGGGCGTTTTCCTTATTTATCCAAATATTTTTGTATTATCAAAAACCCATTTATTTTCTGACAATGGACTTTCCAAAAAGTTGGGAACAGCTGACTTATATCTTTATTACAGGAACATTACATTCTTTCAGAAAACAATATATAAGAATCTAAATAAATAACTGTTACTCGTATTCCACAAATACGTTTCATAAAAAATTAACACACGGTTCGACACTTAAGGTGGCACTTTCAGTGTTTCGTTTACATTAGTTCAACAGAACTTTAGAACTCTATTTCATATTCTTATAAATTCAAAAAAAAAAAGAGTGTTAACATATAAAAAATTACGTTTCTGCATTTGTATAAGTTTTATGAATGCGTGAGCATATGCTGTTTAAGACAAGAT